TTTTCCCAGTGTTATCCAGTCTTACTGAGTGGGTAGTGCCATAGCAGCAGTAGCTGGTCCTCTTGTGGTAAGCCCTGCCCTGCGCCAAAAAGTAGAGGTGCAGGAGGCTCCCACAGGACACTGGAAGGGGCAGTATCTGTGGCCTTTTGGTAGGGATCGCAATTTGTCGGTCATCCGACGTAACGTCGAGAGTGAACGACTGAAAGGGAATGTCTCGGTTACGTATGGTAACCCTCGTTCCCTGAAGGAGGGAACAGAGACGTCACGTCCCGTCGCCACAGCTCCTGTACCACCGCTGACCGGATCTCGCCTAGAGAGACCAATCCACTTCGAGTGTAAACTAAACGAGACAATGCACATTGGCATGCGATTATTGCATCCAGCTGCCGCTGACCACAGCGTGAGTATAAGTAGGCTCGAAGTGGATTGGTCTCTCTAGGCGAGATCCCAATTCGTTGGTCATCCGACGTGACGTCTCCATTCTCTCCTTCAGGGAACGAGGGTTACCATACGTAACCGAGACGTTTTGAGTCTAGATTTAAATTTGGCTAATGTTTTAGCACATCTGATCTCTTCTGGAAGCTGGTTCCTGCTGCGGGCGGCATAATAGCTAAAAGCGGACTGCCCTTGTTTTGTGTGAAACCTTGGTATTTCTAACTGACTCGATCCTAATGATCTGAGTGGTCTGTTAGGTTTATATTCAGTGAGCATATCTGCAATGTATTTAGGTCCTAGGCCATTGACTGATTTATAAACGAGTAAAAGTACTTTAAAATCCTATATATCCTATATATAACTGGAAGCCAGTGTAAGGACCTGAGGACTGGTGTGATATGCTCAGATATTCTGGCTCTTGTCAGAATTCTGGCAGCAGCATTTTCTTTCTCATTATTTGACTTAGTGGGAGCATATACAGGCTAAACAAGAGTGGTGCAAGAATTGATCCTTGTGGGACTCTGTGTGTCATGGATGTCCACTTAGACTTGTGCTCTCCTATACTCACATAATAACCTCTCCCTTCTAAGTATGACCTGAACCATTTGAGTACCATCCCAGAAAGTCCGACCCAGTTTTCCAGTCTCTCCAGAAGTATGTTATGATCAACAGTCAAACGCGGCACCAAGATCTAGTAGTACCAGCACTTAAAAAAAATAAAAAATTCTAACCTTTCATTAAAGTTAAACAACTGAAAGTGGGGAGAAAATCTCAATGATCCTTCATTCAAAAAATTCACAAAATTCTAACTTTTCATTGAAGTAAAACAATTGAACGTAGGGGGAAATTCACATTTTGAAATAAATGTTTTTCTCCAATGCTTGTTGGCCACAATTATTGGCACCCCTAGAAATTCTTATGAGTAAAATATCTCTGAAGTATATTTCCATTCATATTTCCATTTTTTAGCACACCAGGGTGACTAGAAGAACGAAATTGCCCAGCCATGGCTTCCTGTTCCACAGGAGTATAAATATGAGGAACACAAAGGCCAAATTCCTTTAAACATCCATCACAAGGAGTAAAACCAAAGAATATAGTTCTGATGTGCAGAACAAGATTGTTGAGCTGTAAAAAGTGGCTGTAAGAAAAGAGATAAAGCATTGAAAATCCCCATTGCCACCATCAGGGCAATAATTAAAAAGCTCTAATCAACTAAAGATGTTACAAATCTGCCTGGAAGAGGACGTGTGTCTATATCGTCCTAATGCACGCTGAGGAGGAGTGTTTGAGTGGCCAAAGACTCTCCAAGGATCACAACTGGAGAATTGCAGACATTAGCTGAGTCTTGGGGTCAGAAAGCCTAAAAAAAATATATCAAACAGCCCCTACATGTTGTTCGGGAGGGTTTCAAGAAAAATTCTCCTCGCTCATCCAAAAACAAACTCCAGCATATTCAGTTGTTGGACACGACTGGAACTTCAATTGGCACTGGCTTCTATGGTCAGATGAAACTTAAAAAAATAGTTTTTTTGGCAGCAAACCCTCCAGATGGGTTTAGTACAGACAGGGATAAAAAGTACCCCATGCCCACGGTTAAATATACTACTGGATCTTTTATGTTCTGGGCCTGTTTTTCTGCCGGAGGTCCTGGACATTTTGTTCAGATGCATGGCATCATGGATTCTATCAAATACCAACAGATAAAAAATCTAAACCTGACTGCCTCTGTAAGAAATCTTATAATGGGCTGTGGTTGGAAATGTCAATCAGAGGAGTTCAAGAAAACAACAGACTTGTCTGTGATTGGCTACAGTGCTTAATGCTACAAAAACACGTTGTAAATTCAGACGTTTACAATAAATTTTTTACGCTTTTCAGAGCGCAAACACAAACACGCACTGGAGTCTTTACCAAATCTGTTTCACCAATATCCTATTATTACAGTTTTAACTGAGGGTTCCTTTGGCCGTTTCTCAATATGCGTTCTTTATGTGATCTTGCATCCTTGTTTTCTCGTTCTACGTCATCATCATTAACCGTCGAATTTAAATTCCACTCCTCGAGAACACAAGTATAGAGGACACATGAAAGTGCAAGTTGTGTTCTTGAAACTGAGTATGCATCGAATGCAGACTCGAGAGAATCGAACCATTAGAAATCCCAGAAGACGCTGCGGGCGGACGACGTACAGAAGCATGTAAGCTTTAATCTTCTTATTCTCGCTGAAGAAATAACCACTGCAAGCTCGCAAATATGTGACGGCTTGTGAAAGTAAACATTTGCCATTTTGTTTTGCATAATTTTAATGAAGTGAGAAAGCCTGTCATACTTTTTATTGGGATATTAAAAAGAATTTTAACATTAGCAAAGAATATGTAACATTATACATAGCCTAATCATTTTCACAAATACATGCTATAAAATAATATGAAAATATTGTCTATAATAAAATAAAATAAATGTTTTAAAAGCGTTATGTTTGTGATCACATAACAATGTGTTATTTATAGAGCCCGACCGATATGGGTTTTTTGGGGGCCGATACTGATACTAGGGAGTAAATAAAGGCCAATATCGATATATCGGCCGATATTCTTTGTGTATATTATAGTACAGTACCAGTCAAAAGTTTGTACACTTTCCCATTCGTGTGTCCAAACTTTTGACTGGTACTATATATAGAATACAGTATATACATAAACAGAATATATATACATAAACATTTTTTGCAATGATCACTCAAATGTGGTGATCAAACACTTATAATAATGTGACAAACATATGTAATGGAGGCAGGGCATTTAACAATTTAACAATACATTTTATTATCCAAAATGAGTCTGACATCAGTGCACTGAACAGTAAAGTTTAAGTTTATTCAACTTTATTTCAATTCAATTCCATTCAACTTTATTCTGTTGAAGTTTATTTCACTTCGGAACATTCATTCACGGATTTGCTCTCCTGTCTTTACACACAGACGAAACTTACTAGAGAAGTGTGAAGTGTGACATAATATACCTCTGTAAATAAATACAATTTAAATTCACGTCTTGCGCACTTTAAAGCCCTTTGAATGTAACGTGTACGTTCCCTTGGAACTGAAATCATGGCGGAATATCATGTGAAGTCCACTTTGCAGGGCACTTATGGTCGAATAAGACAACACTTGCTTCTGCCTGAACAAGAGACCTCCTTACTGAAGTGAAAGTGTTGGCTGGTGTCACTATCTCACGAACGCGGTGGCGGATTTCCACCAAATTCGGGGATCCTTTCAGCTCGAGGAGCCCTCTCGAACGCTACCCTCCATGCATTAGTAGCCCCCCGGGATCGCCAGATCGGTCAGTGCCTGACTGCGAATTTAACCGTCTGTAACTCCCGGACCCCGGCATTCGAAAGGGGGCCTCGAAAACACTCGATTTGGCGTTCAGTTCAGGTCGTCAGTAGCAAACAATGGAGCACGCTCTGCTGGATAAACAACGTAATTACACCATTTACAAACATTTTATCTGCATTTTATGTTCTGTAAAAAAAAATTAATATCGGTGGCATATCGGCGGTATATTCGCCAATACCGATATATCTGCGACACGCTCATATCGGCCGATAAAACTGGCAAAACGATATATCAGTCGGGCTCTAGTTATTTATTGTGCATTGCGTGCTGTTGTCTCGCTCCTTATGACCTGCTGTCTCTGTCAGTTGAGCAGCAAGAACACAGTGCATCTCAATTCTCACAAAGATGCGTTCTGTGTTCTCGCGTCCTTCTGAGTTCGTTTTTTCAAGGTAGCCTGGCAAGACTCGTCTCCACGAGAAAATTGAAAATTTGTGTGAGAAAATGGATGTGTGGCTTGAGAGCGTGAGAACAGTGTCAGTTGCGTGAGAGTTGCCAGCCCTGCTATGGCCGGTTTGGCTCATATTTATCTAGTTTACCTAAGTAGAAAGCCATTTTTCTTAGTTTTTATGATTTTGTTTTCTGTGGTAACCTCAGTGGTATTGTGACCTCTCACCTTCTGGAGTGAGTCCTGAGCTGAGGTTCTCCATCACTCCTGAGGTTGAGGTAGGAGCTCAGAGAGGACACCAGGGTCCCAGAGAGCCGCCGGCAGCGACTGTGCCAGCCGTTGGGAAAGGCAGTGACCGCTGGCACGTTGGCATTGTTGATATTGGAGTTGGATGATTTGTCTGACATCGACGGACAGTAATTTTGGGTGGAGCACAGAGGAAACGGGAGTTGCAGAGGACGCTGTGTGACGCTGCCGTACTGATCTCCACTCACATGATTCCCAAACACAACCCCATTCCTCTGCACATACAGACAAAATCATCAAAAACTGCTCCCCTAGATTTTCATTAATTTCATTTGAAATTATATACACTGAATTGCTTTCCAGTTCAAAATTATAAAAAATAAAAAAACAATTCGTCTACTACATTATCTTTACTGTAAACTTCAACTTTTTTATACTTTCTTTTTTTGAAATGCTTTCACTTCAGCAAAAATCTGCTATGTGTCTTCTTTAAAAAGAGACCAAGCTTAGGTCTGTATTGCAAAGCGTTCAGGAATTACAACCATGTTGTAAACAAGCATTGATAAACAAGTGTTCTGTTTTCAGTGAATTTATACCCCCAAAGGGGAGATGTATCCTGGGGGATACAAACATTAAAATGAAAAATAAAGTTTTGAAAAAAATCATGAAATTGCATTATTCGAGTCCCAATAAGATGGAAAATAGCAATAAATTCATATTCTGATGTCTCTTTATGAGTTTGCCCTGTTTAGGGTTATGGTTACTTTTGGTCCAATAAACAGTCCTAATCGTAAAGTAAATTGTCTTTTTTATTTTTTTGCTCAAGACCCATTTTATTTGCTCAAGACACATTAAAGTAGGGGTCTCCAACCCTGCTCCTGGAGAGCTACCATCCTTCAGATTTTGGTTCAGATGGTTCAGAACACACCTGAACCAGCTAATCAAGTGCTGTGTTTCAAATCGCCCCTTATCCCTGGCAGCTCCAGTAGTAATGGATCTCGAATTCTGTAATAGAAACTAGCATGTATAAACCCTAATTAAACTATTTAATAATCAATTAAAATAAAATGTATACCTGTATGATATTATGCTGTACTCGGACTGGACCAGCAGTTAGAAAAATGGATGATTCAGTCGCAAGCGCGGTCTTCTAACAAGATGCCAGAAATCATTCGTCATGGCTCTCAGTGCATTATGGGTATTCTCTAGCCGTTGAGTGTACATCAGTTGTACATTCATTATGGATTCGGACACCATTACAAATTGCTGTCCCCTCAATTAGTGCCCTATTTAAGAGTACAGGGGGCAATTTCAGACACAGCCAAGGTGTTCAGGGTAGCTTGATAACTGCAGGCAGGTGTGTTGGAGCAGGGCAAATCCCCGCTGCCATTTTGAAGTGTGTTCCACTTCGTGAAGTGCATGAGGGAAGTTTATATGGACAGACCCTTGACCCCTTGATTTTGACTGAGTGAGTGAGTCTACTTCATATACCCCAATGCAACACGATTGTGATGTCACCACAGATCGAGTTTAATTTACTCCCACCCTAAACAACTTTTTTATATATATATATTTGCTTTTTTTAATATTTGAAACAGCCCAAGCATACCTATATTCATATAGAATACTGAATCAAACTAAGGTAAGAAAAATGTAACTAATAAACCAACTTTATAACAGATTCCAAGTGATCAAGGGCTTAGGATGTTACAATTCAACCTACAGCAAGGGTTCAGCCAGTAGTGGGCACTCATGCAACATAATCAACATCATATCAACATCTGAGTCAACGAGGGGAGGGAAGTTAAAAAAAAGTGGAACACAGCCCAGCTCTCCAGGAGCAGTCTTGGAGATCCCTGCATTAGAGAAAGTACTTTAAAAGTACTTGCATATTATTAAAATCAAATCAAATAAAATTTAATCAAAATCTAAAGTAGTTTATTCAGAATTTGCAAAAATTGCTTTCCAGTTTAATTAAAAACCTTGGTGCAATCCTTGAACCGGGTTCACACATTTGCATTTACAAGCGCAACGCTCTAATACATATTTACATGTGCACTGATAAAGACTGAAGTGCTTTACCTCGTATATCTCTTCCTCCTCATGGAGGTTGACGTCTACTAGACCTTCATCCTGTAGATCACATGATATGGCTCGACGGATCTCAGGGCCAATATCATGCAGTGTGCGCAGACCAGCCTGCAGAAGAGACAGATAAAAACACACCATTTCTGTTTCGATTCGACAACCCTGATACATCATTATGTATAATGTATATATATAATACATATATATATATATATATATATACATAATATATAATATATATAATATATATATAAGTATATAATACATCATTATATGTGATTTTTTTTTTTTTAGGAAATTTATTAATTTCAATTGTTTTAAACCTTTAGTACATCAGTTTTTAAAGTTTTAGCTTACCTGCAGGGCGGTAGTGGTGTTTAAATAGGGTTGGCATCCCACAAGACCTTGCTCTTTGCGTTTCCTGAATTTCCTGAAGTAGTCCTGTATCAGGAAAGTGGCATAGAACTTCCCCACAGTGATGTCATCATCTAAACACACAGACCACACAAATGGCCAATGACTTACTCATATCATTAAACAAAACTATACGTATTGTGTTTGAATCATTCTTGTCATGCAGTACATTCATATGCCCATGATTTAATACACTGAAAATCATAGTAGTTAGGGGTGGGCGATATAGCCTCAAAATTATATCACGATATTTCAAGAATATTTGCGATAACGATATTTATGACAATATAAGAAACAAAAACATGGAACAACGTTTTAGCAGCGTTTAGCAGCAACGGCAGCAGCATTTATTAGTGCAAACAAAATTAAGGGCATTTTCCATCCTTGTCCAATGAGCTACCGTCATCGATGACAGACTACCTAATTTGAAGTGTAAATCTATTGTCATATGGTGGCAGCAGCAGCTGTGTTTTCGACTTGAAGCAGACCGAAGCAGACCGTATGACGTCAACATATCGCGAGAGTGTCTTACCCCCTTATTTACACTGCACATGTCTGCGGCGTGTTGCGGCTCCGACGCGGCCACTCTAGTCAATGCTTGTGTTTACACCAGTGGCTCTCCGTGCCGCTTCACTAAAGATATGCGCCTCGCCTATTTTTGAAGGTAAGAGTGTGCTCTCTAATATGATCTAGAACTGCTCTCGCGATATTTTGATGTCATACACCAATCAGTCTGCGCAGCGCTGCTTCAAGTCGAACACACCTATTGGGTTTGTGGTGTTGTTGTTGTGCGCGCTAGGGAACTTATATCCGCCATACATCATCGTGTCGCTATATCATTGATATCACGTTATGACACTTTTTTTTATCATGTAAAAATTTATACCGGTATTATTGTGGACGGTATGATATGGCACACCCCTAATAGTAGTAATTGATAATTAGTTTAGAATTTGCCTTCTTTAATCAATATTACAATTAAGTGAAGACAGGAGTACATTTTAATATTTGTCAAGAAGTTCACTGGTTTGAGTCCTGGCCAGGAACTCAAGAATTGGGGGACCAGTTTGTATTTGTCTGTTTGCATGTGCTTCCTGTCTGTAATCAGGAAGGGGGAGCGTCTAGTAGAGATACCAAGACCGAGAACCACAGCAGATTGTTCCTCCCTCACCCAAATGGGAGGGAATGCATAATTATGACCTATTGGCCACCTGTGAAAATCCACTCATCTCCCTAAACACTTCCCACATCCTCAGTACCACCAGATGATACAGCTTCCATTACTCAAGGGATAACTGATAAGTTGAAACAAGGTGGGCTCAGTTTCACCACCCCACAAGACAAAACCACAAGACATTCAAAAAAGTACTACATTAAACCGAATGACTTGTACATTATAAAATCGTTGAAAAAAATTGTTCTGTTTTGCAGAATCATTGCTGATACCACCTCTCCTAAACACAAGTTCCTTGATACAGGACACATTGTGTGCATGTGTACCTGGTATTCCCTACATTATAGAGACCAAATGTCCCCACAAGGGTAGAAATGCCAGTAAATTTGGAACTTGTGAGGGACATTTTTTGGTCCCCGTGAAGAAACAAGCTTATAAATCATACAGAATTAAGTTTTTTGAAAATCTAAAAATGCAGAAAGTTTTGTGGGGGATAGTTTTAGGGGTAGAGTTAGGGTAAGGGGATAGACAATATAGTTTGTGCAGTATAGAAACCATTACGCCTATGGAGAGTCCCCATAAAACATGGAATATAGTGTGTGTGTGTGTGTGTGTGTGTGTGTGTGTGTATGACCTCCAGCAGGTGGCACTACTTGGTCCAGGAGTTTCATGCTAGTTCTCTTCCAGATCTTCTTGATGACAGCTCGTAACTCCTCATTGGCTTGATCCAGATTCCCTGAGAGACACAGTCAATGACACAATTAATGACACATTCACACCAGCACAGACTGAGTCTCTGTCGCAAAATCTTTACCTTCAGTCTTGATTTTCAGAGCAGTTCTGACCACAGCGAACAGGGTGGCATTGAACATGACCGTACCGTCACTATTTAGTGGCATGTTCATGGCAACCAACCTCTAAAGAGATATTAAGAGAAAGAGGGGAGTTTAGACGTGTTTAGTCTGTGTATATAATGCAATTAATGCATGTGATATTTATATTAAACTTCCTTTATTAATGTTATATATGCTTTAATAATACTATATCACATGGTTTAAACAGTCCTTTTTTTTATTTTTGCAGCCCACAATTACTAAAATTGCTGCAGCTTTTCGTAAAAATTGCAGCTATATTTGCAGCATTTTTTTTACAGTGAAAACCCACCAAAATGTATGATTTGATTATGTAAGTGTTAATGACAGTAAAGGTACAATTATATTTTTTTGTGTAGAATTACTGAATATTTGGTCCTGGACCCCCATGCACAAGGCAATCATGAAACCAGAAAAGAAAAATTCATAGTTCTGTTTTGCTGAAAATACAGAATTGTGTAACACATAATAGCTTGTACACTGTCACTGTACTATATGTAATCAGTTTTTACTGATTTACATATTTTATATGTCTTAAATCATATTTAGTTTTTTTATATATCATTGCCGATTGTTGTAATAATGTTTTAGCATTTTTTCCATTCATCCAATCATAGTATTATCAGTGATTACATTAACCAGAAGTGTTTTAAAAAGTGTATATAAAATAAAACAATGTACTTATTGAAATCAGTATATTACTGGTGAAATCAGTCATTACTAGGACAAGCACATATTCACCCCAAGATACAAATATTCAGTATTACAAATAGTAGTTTAATAGTATCAATAATCCTATAGAAAGTTTAATTTTGCCCCACATGCTTAACATGTAAATATTAACAATATAAACAAAGTGACATAGTGATTCATTTGTTTGGGCTCAGAATTAAGAATTTTGATTAGCTAATATTGTTTCCCCCTTGGTGTTAACGTCTCGGTTACCTATTGTACCCCTCATTCCCTTTCATTCGGTCACTTCGATGTTGTGTCGAAGTTCCGACACTAGGGGTAACACTTGGGAGCCCAGACACATCATTAAAGGGTTAAGTTCAAGCAAAAATGAAAATTCTGTCATTAATTACTCACCCTCGTGTTGTTCTCTCGTAGCTTCGTAACTTTACATTTGAACCACTGATGTCACACGGATACTTTGTCGATCATCTTGGTACTTTTCTGGACCTTGAAAGTGGTTGTTACCTTGCTGTCTATGGGAGGGTCAGAGAGCCCCCAGATTTGATCAAAAATATCTTAAATTGTGTTCCGAAGATGAACGAAGGTCTTACGGGTGTCGAACAACACGAGGGTGAGTAATTAATGACAGAATTGTAATTTGTGGGTCAACTAACCCTTTAAGAAAAGGTTCAACCGTAACGTTATGAAGCGACGAGAATACTTTTTGTACGCGAAGAAAACAAAAATAACGACCTTATTCAATAATTCGTCTCCTCTGTGTCTCTCCACATCACCGTAGCGCCATTTTGGAGAATAACCACTGAACGCAAGCAACGTATGCTATTCTGTGTAAAAATAACGTATTATACGTAATAATAATAACAACGTATACAAGAAAACGTATCCTTGTGTCGCGGCTGACACAGAATAGCGTACGCTGCTTGCGTTCAGTGGTTATTCTCCAAAATAGCGCTACGGTGATGCGGAGAGACACAGAGGAGACGAATTGTTGAATAAAGTCATTATTTT